GGTCCCAGAGGGTCCAGAGGTGCTATCTGGGAGCCAAGGACTAGAGTCAAAAACCTTAGAAGTCTACCTGGTATTCTATTGTACTGTGACTGAGCTGGCACTCAACCACAACGTGCAGCCTTCCCACTCCTCCCTCCCCTTTCCACAGGCAGAAGATCCTCACTCAGTGGCCACCACCACAGGTCCATGGGAAGTTCTGCCAGGCTGCTGTCAATGTTCCCTTAAGGCCCAAGGGCTCTTCAGTCAGCTCGTCATGAATGCTGCCTGGACTGCAATTCACACTTCAGGGCAGCGGGCTCCACTCTGGCCCAGCACAGGTCCAGAGATGCCATCCAAGAGCAGAGGCCTGGAATTAGGGACCCCAAGAACCTGCTTTGTGCTCTACCCTGCTGTGGCCAAGCTGTTACCAAGGGTGCAAGGCAAAACCCCCTAATTTTTCCTTCTGAGTTTCTCAAGCAGGAGTCTCTCCCCTTACCCACCACAGCTGGGAATGTGTGAAGTTTCACCTGAAGCCAGAAAGTCTCAGAGTCTCACCCAAGGCCCATAATATATGACCAGGGTATTGCTACTGGTTATTCAGTGCCCATGGGCTCTTTAATCAGCAGATGATAGGTTCTGTCAGGACTGAGTTCTTCCCTTCAAGGTAGCAGGTTCCCTTTCTGGCCCAGGTTCCCTTTCTGGTCCAGGAGCTAGGGCCTAGAAAGGGGCCCTCAAACTCTGACTGGTGCCCTATCTTACTGTGACTGAGCTAGTATCCACCATGCAAGACAAAGTCCTCCCCACTCATCCTTCTCCTTAAGTAGAAAAAGGAGGGGCCTCTTTTAGAGCCACGAGCTGTGCAGCCTGGGGTTGGGGGAGGGGTGGCACACATACTCCCTTAGCTGCCCCAGCTACTGACTCAGTAGGTCGCATGCTGCCCCCATTCATTAGCTCTGAGCCCAGTTCAGACCTAGGGCTCTCCTAGGAGTTGCAGTCCTTGTGGCCTAGACTACCTTTCAAGTTTATTTAATACCCCAGGGCACTTTAGCTTACAGTGGGAAAGCTTGCCAAAACTCAAGTGCTAACCACTGGGATGGGTGAGTCCCCTCTGGCTAGGGCTGGTTTAAATACTACCTCTGTGGGCAGGAGTCAGCTGATTTCAGTATTGTTTTGCTTTCTGCTGTGACAAGGCACCGCTGAGTTCAGTGCAATGTTTCACAATTGCTGTACTCTTCCTCCCCCAAGTACACAGATTCATTCTCCATGCCTTGCAGCAGCTGCCAGGAAATAGGGGGGAAGAGTGGCATCAGTGATTCAAATCTGTCTCCTACCCTCTTCAGTGCCTCTTTCAGCAATATGAAGTTAAAACTAGGTACTGTGGGTGCTTGCTTGATCTTTGGTTCTTGTGAAAGTGCTTTTTTCATGTAGATGGTTGTTAAATTGGTATCCTTGTGGGGGTGGAGTGGGACAATCAGTGGAGCATTCTATTCGCCCAACCTGCTCTACTCCTTTTCTTCCATAGTCAAGGTTTCAGGGACACACTGATTAGAGTTAACTATCAAAATTCACAAGATAGAAACATTTTATTCACAAGCTTTAAACATCATTGTGTTTAAAAACGTGTTCAAAAGTTAGTCGTGTTCTCAAATGTCCCATTTGGCAACAATTTTGATAGGTCCAATAAAATTCCTATTCACTAGATTTTAAAGTATTTAAATATGGCTGCTTTGAATGTTTTGAAGCCACAGCTGGTGCCAATGTGTTGATAAAAATTATTCAGGAAAGAAAGTCCAAGAATACGGATGACATTGATATATTTTCCAGGCAAGGTGTGTAGATCAAATATCAAGCTATACTTGCCAGCTCTGATGAATAATTAATGGAGACTTAGACATTTAGCACATGGCAGTATGTAGTTGAATAAAGAAAATTAAACACAATTTTAGAGTCTTGCCATGTGCTCTCTTCCACTGGTTTCTATCACTGAGACTGTGATATAAGTGGTTCTATGCTATTTTCTCCCCTTTACCTGCCACCAAACAAAAGTAAATAATGTCACTCTCCTATTTGTTTCATATTATACATCTTGTAAAGTACTTTTACATGCATTGCTAATTTAGCCCTCACACACAAATAAAACAGAGTTTGTGAAACTGGCAAGGAAGGCATTATTATTCATATTTTAAAAACTAAGAAAAGTGAAGTAACCTATGCAAGAATCCAGAAAAACAATAAACCCATAAATGTTTTTTTGAAGTGCCCCAACTGTCAGTGCATCAACCAAAATTAAGTCAAACACTCTGAAACTCATCAAACATTTAGAAACCTTTGGCTCACATCCTTGGAGGCCAGACCAGCACCAGAGGGACCAAGAAGCAAGAATGGAGTTGGAATGCACTCCAGAAGCCCATTCTTGAAGCTCTTGGAGTCTATTCTAGATGAATGAATTGCAGGATAGCTCTTAGGATCTGCAAGTAGAAGAAGATATCAATTCTAGGATGTTGTGTTAAGTTACAATAGTATATTCTAGTGGGTAGAATTGAGAGTATTTCTAATATCCAACAGAGTTAATAATACTGAAACTGTCAACTGAAAAAAAAAAGTTAAGCATCTGCCTTTGCTTATACATGGCTAGGTCTCAAATATTTCCAAACCATATGTGGATTTAACATGGATTTGATGATACTGTATAGCTGCTTTTTGATTTCTTGGTTGATTTTTTTGAGGTGGGGAGGTTGGAAAGAGAACAGAAAAGGCCAAATGAAAAGGATTATTGCCAGAAAAATGTTTTAGTCCATGTTTCATTTCAAATTGTTGGATTTAAGAGTTAAATTTCATTTGAGTTTATAATTTCCTGATGTTTTTGCTTAATTTACTTAAAGCAGATATATAACTGAATGTCTATAAGTTATTCTCATGATGTCATCTATAAATTACTTAATTCATGATACATATGCAGGTATATATGTAAAATATAGAACTCAGACTAAAAAATGTGGAGATTAGAGTGACATAAGAGAATATTAATACTGTATGCCCTAATATGGTAGAAATTACAACAAAAACATTGGAAGAGAAATGGGAAAGAAAGTGGGTAAAAAAAATATTGATTTTCCTAGATATGTACTATCTGGAGTAAAAAGATATCACTTAAAATTGACATATAAGTAAATCTATATGAATATTTCACAATACAGTTGTAAATTCTAAAGCTAGTGATATAGATGAGGTAGGGAAAGGAAGAAAAGTATGAAAGATCTCAATTTTATATTTACTCATATAAGGGAACTAAAGATATGAATAAGCATATTAAATAAAGCTGTAATTACAAAGGCGACAGTGAAAACAAACTTACGTATCTTTTAAATTATCAGTAGAATCACATACAGAAAGCAAAGCAAAGCAAACAGAGAACAGGCCTTATGCTACACTGCCTTCTTTCTCCTAGCCTGTACCTATGGCCTTGTGAGTTCTCTAAGATCAGCTGACAGAGGAAGGAAAGGCCACAGCTTGGTTTACAGATGGCTCTGCATGACAGGCAGGAACCACCTGAAAGTGGACAGCTGCAGCACTACAGCCCCTTTCTGGGCCATCACCAACCAACAATGGTAAAGGAAAATGCTCCCAGTGGACAGAACTTTGGGCAGTACACCTGGTCATGCACTGTGCTTAGAAAGAGAAATGGCCAGATGAACCATTATATACAGATTCTAGGCCTGTGACCAATGGTTTAGCTAGATGGTCAGGCGCTTGGAAGGAGCACGATTGGAAAACTGGTAACAAGAAAATTTGGAGAAGAGGTAAGTGGATAGACTTATTTCAATGGACAAAAAACCATGAAGATATTTGCGTCTCACATAAATGCTCACCTAAGGGTGACCTCAGCAGAGGAGGCTTTTAATCAAGTGGATTCTGTGGACACCAGTCAGCCTCTTTCCCTAGCCACTCCTGTCATTGCCCAATTGGCTCATGAACACAGTGGCCATGTGGCAGGGATGGAGGTTGTGTATGGGTTCAGCAATACAGACTTCCATTTACCAAGGCAGACCTGGCTACAGCCACTGCCACATGCCAGTCTGCTAGCAGCAGAGAAAAACACTGAATCCAAAACTTCCCAGGGTGATCAGCCAGCTACTGGTGGTAGGCTGATTACATGGAACTTCTTCCATCACAGAAGGGGCAGTCTATTTCTTACTAAAATAGACTTAACTCTGGATATGGATATGCCTTCTCTGCATGTAATGCTTCTGCCAGAACTACCACCCATGGACTTACAGAAGTCTTATACACTGTCCTGGTATGCCACACAGCTGTGCTTCCAATAAGGAAAACATTTCACAGCAAAGGAAGTGCAGCAATGGGCCTATGCTCATGGCATTCACTGGTCTTACCATGTTCCCCACCATCTGAAGAGCTGGTTTGACAGAACAATGAAATGGTCTTTTGAAGAGGCAGTTACAATATCAGCTAGGTGGTAACATCTCGCAAGGTGGGGATAAGGTTCTCTAGAAGGCTGTATATACTCTGAATCAGTGTCCACTGTATGATGCTATTTCTCCCACAGCCAAGATTCATCATCCAGGAGTCATTGGGGTGGAAATGGAAGTTGCACCACTCACTATTACCCCTAGTGACCCACTAGCAAAAATGTTGCTTCCAGTTTTTGCAATCTTATGCCCTCAGTCTCAGAAAGAGAAAGGCTTTCACCAAGAGACACAATGATTCCACTGAACTGGAAATTAAGCCTGCTGTCTGGTTACTTTGGGCTCTTCAAGCCTCTTAATCAACAGGCAAAGAAGGAAGTTAATGCTTTGACCAGGGTGATTTGTTCCAACTACAAAGAGGAAGTTAAACTGTTATGCCACAGTGGAAGTAAGGAAGAGTATGTCTGCAATACAGAAGAGCCCTTAGGGCATTTCAGGATTACCATGCAACGTGGTTAAGGTCAACAGAAAACTACAACAGCCCAATCCAGGAAACATTACACTACCAACATCTCCAAATCTTATAGAGTGAAGATTTAGACCTCTTAACCAGGAAAAGAACCATTACCAGCTGAGGTGTTTGCTGAAAACAAAGGGAATACAAAATGGGTAGTGGAAAAAGGTAAATACTAGCTATGACCATATGGCCAGCTATAGAAACAAGGACTGTAGTTGTCATAAGTGTTTTCCCCTTATTTTGTTATGAATGTGTGTGACACACACAGAGACACACACCTCAAATACCTTTGTTTTCTTTCTTATCATGTAAAAAAATACTGATTTTATATCGTAGTATTTTTAAGTATTGTTAATTTTACATCATAGTATTTAAGTTATAGGATATCAAGGAGAAGAATAAACATCACCCAAGAACTTTTCTTTCTTTTCTGAGGCAATGGTAGGTGCTTTTTTGGTTATGTATGGTATAGTTGTATCATGTTAGGGAGAATTATAGCCTTGTTATTGTCTTTATTTGGAGATTAAATATGGTTTAATGAGACATATTTGGGGGCCAACTTGACAAGGGGGAGACTTGTGATAGTTAATTTTATGTGTCAATTTGATTGGGTCAGGAGTGCCCAGAAATTTGGTTAAACGTTGTTCTGGGTGTGTGATATGTGGTTAAACATTGTTCTGGGTGTGTCTGTGAGGGTGTTTCTGGATGAGATGAACATCTGAGTCAGCAGACTGAGCAAAGCAGACTGCCCTCCTAATATGGGTGGGCCTCATCCAAGTCTGAATACAACAAAAAGAAAGAGAAGAGAGCATTTACTGTCTCTGCCTGACTGTGTGTGAGCTGGAACACTGGTCTTTTCCTTCCTTCAGACTTGTACTCAGACTGAATCTTGTCCCATTAGCTCTCTTGGTTCTTAGACCTTTGAACTCAGACTAGAACTAACACTATTGGCTTTCCTCAGTCTCCGGCCTTTGCACTTGGACTAGAATTGTATCCTTGGCTCTCCTAGGTCTCCACCTTGCCAAATGAAGATCTTGGGACTTCTCAGACTTCATAATCATGTGAGTTAATTTCATATAATGAATCTATCTATCTAACCTATTGGTTCTATTTATCTAGAGAATTCTTATTAATAATGATTTGTGAAGAACTAAGGATGTTAAATAAAGCTATAATTATAAAATAACAGTGAGAACAAAATCACAAACCTTTCTTAATATTAGTAGAATCACACATAGAAAGCAAAACAGAGAAAAACAGAACACAAAGCTTATAAAGATATAAAACAATCTATAAATTCAGAAAATACAATATTGAATAATGAAACTAAGATTAAATATGGCTTTCATATCAATAAGAGTAAGTAGGCTTAAACCAATTACAAAGAGATTTCAAATTAGTTTATTAAACCTATTCTACACTGTCTTTAAGAGATGCACTCTAAGATAAAGTATTTCAGAACGGTCAAAATGGGGGAATGGCATATCAGGCAAATGAAAAAAAAGAGAGAGAGAGAGAAGGAGAGAATGTAAAGGTCGCAGTCTAATATTATGGAATGTACAATTCATATTAAATGAGGTAAAGGAATGAACTTTATAATAATAAAGGTAATTCACAATAGTGATGTAACAGTTATGAAAATTTATGCTTCAAGCAACTAGAGGAGCTATAAGAAAAAACAGAAACTTACTAATAGAAGAAAACTTTAATTCACCTTTCTCAGGCCATAATAGATGAAGAGGAAAAAAGTAAGTCAATCTAGATGACACAATGAATTAGGCAGATTTAATTATAAATATCATACTCTGTATCCTGAAAAAAGAGTACACATTTCTGTTTAAGTGTCCATGATCACAGAAATTGATGATATATTAAGACTCAAAGAAAACCTAAATACATTACAAAAAATTGAAGTGATATGGACAACATTCTGTGATCACTATGTAATACTAGAAATTAATAATTAAATTTAAAAATGAAAAGCCAATACCTCTTAGCTTTTACAATCTCACTTAAACAATTGTTGAATCAAAGAGATAAAAACAAAACTATAATTGCAAAACATCTAACAAACAATAATAAGAAAACTACAAATTGCTAAAACAATAGTGAGAGGAGAGGAAATAATACTTCCATTATAAACATGAAAGACTAAAAAAATGAATTTGACATTTAACTTTAGAAGTTAAAAAAGAAACAAAATAAAATGAAGGAGAATCAAGGGAAAAAGTCAATAAAGATAAAAGCAGAATTTAAGAAGTTGGAGCGCAAAAACTGAAAGCTGCTGCTTTGAAAAAAAAAGTCAATAAACATAAACTACTAACTTAATCAAAAAAAATGTAAAAATGTGCTAATAAAATGAGAAGGATTAGGAGAGGAAATTATCATAAAAATGAAAAAAAATCTTAATAAATTGGACAATTTTATACTCAAGCTTAGAAAAGACATAAAATCTAAGTAGCATAATTTTCATTAACACAAACTCAGAATTTCATCAAAGAGATACTGCCACCTGTTGCACATTTTCCCTGGCCAAACACCAGGTTGAAATTATTTCTCTGAGCAATTTTACGAGATCTTCAAAAAGAATTCTAGATTATTTTTATAAAGCAAGCAGGACACTGATGTAAAATCTGATGAAAACTATCTCCAATATAATATGAATATTAAAGAAAACTCCTAAATAAATCTAGCAGTACATTAAAAGAGAAATGTACCATTTCCAAAAGGATTTATTACAAGTCTGCAAAGGAGGTTCAATCTTAGAAAACCTATTAATCTATTTATATCTACCAATTAGTAGGCATAAAGAGGACAATCATATGATCACCTTTATCTTCATATATGCTAAAAAGATACTTGACAAAATTTAATAACCATTCTTGATGAAATTCTTAAGAAAGTATTTATCAATGGATACATCTTTGAATGTTGAAATATAATTATTTCACCTCTCAAATCAGTAGTACATTTCAGGGAGAATTACTAGGGCATCCCCACTCAGGAACAAGCTAAGAAAGGTCCTATCATCACTATTATTTAACATTCTACCAGAAATGCTAGCCAATGCGATTATGCCAGATAAAGAAATTAGAGATGTGAGAATTAACAAAGCAATAAAACTATCACTATATGTAAATCATATAACATATCTAGAAAATTCAAGGAGGTCAAATAAAAACTACTACAAACAAACAAAACATTCAGTAAATTAGGAAGGTACAAAATTAATATGCAAATTTTTTCATGTATACAATCAATATTCATTGAAAATATAATAGAAGAAAAGACCCCATAGCGAGGTGATGAGCCTAAAAAGAAATGTTCAAGGCTGAGTATTCTACAGACAAAAACATTAAAACATTCTTTGAAAGAGAAAAGGAAGTCTTGAACAAATGGAAAGGCATTTTGGATAGGAAGAGTCAATATTATCAAGATGTTGAACTTTAGTTAATTTATATATTTAATGTGATTTCAATAAAAATAAAATCTGGGTTTTTTTAGAACCAGACTAGACCAGAAATAATTTTAAAGTTTATATGAAAGTAAGCCAGGCATGGTGGTATGCACATGTAATCCCAGCTATTCCGAGGAAGAAGGATTGCTTGAGCCCAGGAGTTTGAGACCAGCCTGGGCAACACAACAACAACCTGTCTCAAAAAACAGAAAAAGCACATATGGAAATAGAAACAAAAAAATACGAAATCTCCACAAAAGAAAACCACGAAAGGAAGATTTTTCTCTATCAGATAAAGTCTCAGTGATTATTATTGTTATGACACATGAATAGGCAAACAGACTAACACAAAATGTATAGTCAGAAATAGGCCTAAATCCATATGGAGTTTTAGTATATAATAAATGTGGTATCTTAAATCAGTGAGAAAAAGAGGTGCTATCAATGAATCATCTGGGAACTACGAGGAAGCCACATGGAGAAAAAAATACGGTTTGATGTATGCCTCACACCCTAACCCACGGTAAATTTCAAATGGGCTAGGATTTTTCCTATAGATACAAACACATAAGAATGAAATGACATTTGGATATAATTCATTGAAGCACTGTTTATAATACAATATATTGGAAATGATCTACATGCTCACCAATAAGGGGCTGGTTAAATACATTAATAGTATATCTATAAAATGGAACACTATAATTTTGTTTAAAAAAGCTTTTTTATCAACATATCAAAATATTTCCATGCTATAGTAAGTGAAAAAAGCTAGAACGGGAGGTAAAATTTGTATAATTTCCTATTATCTGTAACTTGAAGGAGAAAAAATATAATTATTTTTATTAGCTTTCAGATAAATACAAATTCTTATCAAGGATATGATAACCTAGACGCCACATTTGGCAGGTTTCTAAATTAATCCACCTTAGGGAGGTCTTATGATTCATGGCTTACATCCTATTCTTGAGTAAAGAAATTTATCCTGAGTCCCTGAAATCTTATAGTGGGTTCCTCAAACTGTTGATGTACTAATTAATATGTAACTTAACTGATACTGAAAAGGACATTGATTGGTTTCTGAATGGTGAAGCTTTACTGATTGTCTTGCACTTTGATGATTTTAGCCTGTATGTTGCAAAAGACAATTCCTGTATGAGAAGCCCCTCTCCCTAAACTTCCCCATAGAAGCTTCTTCTTCCTCTTCCTCTTCCTCTTCTTTTTCTTTCTCTTCCTTCTCCTCCTCTTCCTCCTCCTCCGCCACCACCGCCTCCTCCTTCTCCTTCTTCCATTTATTTATTTATTTATTTATTTATTTATTTATTTATTTAGACAGAGTCTCACCTTGAGGCCCAGACTGGAATACGGTGGTGTAAACATGGCTCACTGCAGCATTGACCTCCTGGGCTCAAGCGATCCTCCCACCTCAGCCCCCTAAGTAGCTGGGATTACAGGTGTGCACCACCATGCCCAGCTAATTTTTGTATTTTGGTAGAGATAGGGTTTCTTCATGTTACCCAGGCTGGTCTCAAACTCCTGAGCTCAAGTCATCCTCCTGACTCGGCCTCCCAAAGTGCTGGGATTACAGGTGTGAGCCATGGTGCCCAGCTACATTTTCATACATCGTGTTTAAGCCAGGTAAATGAATACCTACTCAAAAAATGTTGATACATGTTTTTAAGTGAAAAAAAAAACTCCTAATCTAATCATAACTGAAGAGTTAAACAGAAAGGTTATGTAAACAATTTGCCAACTTGCAGAAATAAATTTCACTAGTAAATCTGTTCATAATTTTTTATATACTTAAACATCACTTTAAGAGGAAAATGCATTGTGATCTCTTCAGCCAAGGTCAAATTCTTGTGTCCTATACTTATGACACTTATATCCATTTACTTATGACACATATCCATTTATACACATATCCATTTTGTACTTCCTTGGAGCACTCTTAATGATTAGTTAAATAATCAACTACCAAAACATTAATCTTCCATCCTAGAACGAAAGCATCAACAGGGCAGTGGTCAGGCCAACCTTGCTGACTTCTGTATCTCGTAGGGTCTACACAGAGGATGCTCTACATTGGAGGAGGAGTTGGTGTTTCAAAATCTAAATGTTTTACTTCTAGTAAGAGAGTAAAAATAGCTATGCCCATCTCACTGTTACATTGCTACTTGGGTAGAAGGACTGAGGAGTATGCTTTCTGATCTTGCCACTGCTCTGCGGCTTCCTGCAGGTATTTTTGCTTTAAGAAAAGAGAGGAGAGTAAAAGCCCATTTGCAGGGGCAACTGAAGTCTCAAAAGCTGATGATGTCCTCTTGAATAAAGTTTTGGAATTTTTTCCATGTCCATTTCTCTTTTCTTCTTTTACTAAGAGAACACCCCACACCCATCAAGTTTTGGCTAGACTAATGGCTACTCCAGTTACAGGCTACGTTTCCCACATTCTCTTGAGAAGGCTCTGAGTTTTGGTTTTAGCTTCTAGGTTTTATTTTATTTTTGTGAGACAAGGTCATGCTCTGTCCCCCAAGCTGGAATGCAGTGTTGTGATCATAGCTCATTGCAGCCTTGATCAGTGCTCAAGAGATCCTCCCACCTCAG